CCTGTTTTCTTATTAAAGAAAAAAAATTTAAGTCTGGCTTGTTGGAGTTATACCTATGTCTACTAGGCTAGTGATCAATTAATAGCTGGTCAAAGGTTATACTAAAACACTCGAGACAGTACACATTTCTTTAACCCTCTGCCTGTAGATCTTTTTGTTGTTGGGATCACTTTCAAAGTTTGGATTTTTTGGTTTTTTTTTTGCAGTTTTTGGCTGGGGCTGGGTTTGAACCTGCCACCTCCAGCATATGGGTTTGGCACCCTACTCCTTTGAGCCACAGGCGCTGCCCCGACAGAGTCTTATTTTAGTAGAGTGCGATGGTGTCACAGCTTACAGCAACCTCCAACTCTTGGGCTTAGGCAATTCTCTTGCCTCAGCCTCCTGAGTAGCTGCAACTACAGGCACCCACCACAATGCTTGGCTATTTTTTTGTTGCAGTTTGTCCAGGGCCGGGGCCGGGTTTGAACCCACCACCCTCGGTATATGGGGCCAGTGCCCTACTCACTGAGCCACAGGCACCACCCAAAGTTTGGATATTTTAAAAGTCTGTTATAACAGTGACTTTCCATTCGGCTTTCTTAGGCCTTTTTCACCTCCATGCACACACTTGTGATCAGCCAGAGATGTTTGGATAGTTTATACCCTGTTTAGTATCTCTAGCATGAATGTGTGGAACACATTACAAGGTCCCCTTTAGTCTCATTTTTGGATTTCCCTTTAAAATTTCTGTGTAATCATTGATCTGTTTATTGCACCAACTATGACAACAACCTCAGGCCTGCTCAGCCCTTGGTCTTACTTATTTGTCACCAAGAATACAAACTAGGTATGGGATTTTTCTGTGCTTTGCTTCAAAATCAAGTCAGCCCCCTCTGTCATCAAGTTACTTGTTTTCATGGCTTTCCACTGGGCCCCCAGGGATATGTAAGGGGAGTAGCCCCAGGCAGCAGTCCCATAGACGCCCACTTTTCCTACCCCAAGTTCAGTAGTTTCATGTGATTAACCTCAGAGAAGGTAACATTTGAAAAAAGACCTGAAGGGGTGGCACCTGTGGCCCAGTGGGTAGGGCACAGGCCCCATATACCAAGGGTGGTGGGTTCAAACCCAGCCCTGGCCAAACTGCAACAAAAAAAATAGCCAGACATAGTGGTGGGTGCCTGTAGTCCCAGCTACTCAGGAGGCTGAGGCAAGAGAATCGCCTAAGCCCAGGAGTTGGAGGTTGCTGTGAGCTGTGTCGTCATAGCACTCTATAGAGGCTGGCAAAGTAAGACTCTGTCTCTAAAAAAAAAAGAAAAGAAGAAGAAAAAAGATCTGAAGATAAGGAAGTGTTCCATATAGATATTGAGGGGAAGAACATTTTGAGCGGAGGGAACACCTTCAGAGCACCAGGGAGATAACATATCTGGAGTTTAAAAGGGATGATTATAAGTCCATTGTGGGAGGACTTTGGTTTTTGGTAGAGTGTGGTAGAGTATCGCGGCATCACAGCTCACAGCTCACAGCAACCTCCAACTCCTGGGCTTAGGTGATTCTCTTGCCTCAGCCTCCCAAGTAGCTGGGACTACAGGTGCCCACCACAACGCCCAGCTATTTTTTTGTTGCAGTTTGGCCGGGGCCGGGTTTGAACCCTCCAACCTTGGTATATGGGGCCGCCACCCTACTCTCTGAGCCACAGGCACTGCCCAGGACTTTGGTTTTTATTTTGAAAGAAATGAGAAACTGCTGGAGGGCTTTAAGCCACAAAGTTGCTGCCTTTAAAATAATTTTATTTATTTATTTATTTTATTTATTTTATTTTTTTTTGAGGCAGAGCCTCAAGCCATCTCCCTGGGTAGAGTGCCATGGCATCACCCTCACAACAACCCACAACTCCTGGGCTCAAGCGAGTCTCCTGCCTCAGCCTCCCAAGTAGCTGGGACTACAGGCGCCCGCCACAGCACCTGGCCATTTTTTGGTTGCAGCCATCATTGTTGTTTGGCAGGCCTGGGCTGGGGATTCGAACCCACCACCTTAGGTGTATGTGGCTGGCGCCTTAGCCGCTTGAGCCACAGGCGCCAAGCCTAAAATAATTTTAAAAGCAGCTAAAGTGAAATAGAAGCTGGAGAGTGGCAGAATAGGATGCCAGTTAGGAGGCTATTATAATCCTGATTATAGCAGTACAGGTGAGATGGTTGTGACTTAAAACAAGAGGGGTAGCAGTGTAGGTGGTGAGAAGTAGTCCAGTTCTGGGTGTATGTTTTAAATGTAAAACAGATGGGATTTTTTTGTGATGGATTAGAGGTGGGAATTTGAATAGATTCAGGACTTTATTATTTCAAGGGAATTTACTTGTATATTTCTGTGAATGCTTTTTCTGTTCCCTTTATTGAGTCCTAAAATTTTTGAGTCCCTCTATTGATTCCAATTATCCTTAAATTAGCTCATTTTTTGTGCTTTTATGTTATCTCCTAGTTACTTTAATCTCTGGGTTTTTTTCTTCTGAAGGCTCTTCCTTCAGTTCATTCATTCTGTTTTCATCTGTGCCTATTGTGCTTCTTACTATTTCTGACTTCTTAATGATGGTGTTTTTTCAGTTTTTCTTTAAACTGAAAGCAGTCTGCTTTCTTTTTATCCTTTATTTATAGGTTTTGTTTTATTGAATTCAAGTTCTTATTTGAAGTATTCAAATAAGCATTTAAGGGATAATCTGCTTTTGTTTTGGGGGGGTTATATTATTTTACAGAGTGGAGTCTTCATCTTTTACATGGTAATTCTTATCTCTCATTGTTTTTCCCGTTTGTTACAGTAGGTTTGATAGTTGTTGTGTTATTTTTCTTTTAATATGGGATGAGTCACAAATTTGCATGCCATCCCTGTGTAGGACATGCCATTCATTTAAAAACTATACCATTCCAGTTTTTGTAAATGTGCTGCTGAAGTGAGCACTGCTGTGTCATTTTTATTTAATCTTTTCTATGCTCTGTGTGAACAGCTTTGGTTATACCTTTTGTTTGTAGCTATAGAGTTTAGATGCCATACCCTTGATATGTTTACAAACTTATTTGGGACCTATCTTACCCATTCCTACTTATACACTGTTGTTAGTTGTTGGATTTTGCTTTCATCTTCTTTTCTTTTCTTTGTTCTTTTCCTTTTTGAGATGAAGTTGAGGTCTGGTTGTGTTGCCCAGGCTGGTCTTGAACTTCTTGGTTTAAGTGATCCTCCTGACTCAGCATTTGGGACTATATTCAGGCATCCTCAAACTATGGCCTGCGGACCACGTGCAACGTGCCAAGGACATTTATCCGGCCCACTGGGTGTTTTTGCTGATGCTGCCTGTCCTGCTTAGCAGCCGACTCGTCCTGGGGCCTGCAGTCCAGCCCTCCAATGGTCTGAGGAACAGTGAACTGGTGCCCTGTTTAAAAAGTTTGAGGACTGGACTATAGGTTTGCACCACAGCACTGTTTCTTTAAGCTCAGAAGGCGAAAGTGGAGAAGAGCTTGCCATAGGAGACTTCAGTTCTTTTTGATAGATATGAACTTTTTTTTTTTTTTTTTGAGACAGAGTCTGACTATGTCGCCCTCTAGGTAGAGTGCTATGGCATCACAGCTCACAGCAACCTCCAACTCCTAGGCCTAAGCAATTCTCTTACCTCAGCCTCCCACAGCTGGACCACAGGCACCAGCTACAACACTGGCTATCTTCCTACTGGAGCTGTCATTGTTGTTTAGCAGGCCTGGGCCGGGTTCAAACCTGCCTACCTACACTGAGCCTATGAACTTTTTTCTAAAATCTCATCACATGTTCCCTATCAAGCTCACTTTATCTAGGGGTAGATTCTATGTATTTCCATAAGCTTTGGCTGATTCTCCCAACTTGGCTTAATTTTCTGAAAGATCATAAGTCTCAGATGCTTACGCTGCTGTTCCTGAGGTCACATTGTGGTATATAGAGGTTCTTTTTCTTGGTGGAATACTTTTTAAACTTTTCCATTACCTACTTACCCTTTCCTTCTCCTCTTTTCAAATTGGAAGGTATTTTATATAAAGCTACTTTCCTTTCCTTGCATTGTATTTTGTAAAATGTTTTACCTGTCAGTTGTCCAGGAGTAAGAGTTCTGTAATCCTCACCTTGCTTTCTTTACCCAGAAATCTTGGGTATCTGTTTTGAAAATGTTTAGTACTATGAAAACAATAGCTTATCTTTATAATAAATTTAGAGAAGCTTCTTACAGTATTGACTAATTTCATTTTAGTGCTTCCATGTTCCATATTAAAATTCCTTTGCATTCCCCTCCACTACCCTGCTCACAGCTCCCTGGGTTATTACAGCTGCATTTGAGCTGAGAAGTTAAGTATAGGAAATTCTAGAGAAAGAGAAAAGACCCCTTGATTTGAATGGGAAGATCAGGTGGTAAGAAAGATTTTAGGGAGCGATAAGAGGTAATATTTTTGTGAAGCAGAGATGAGGATGAGATGTTTGAGATACATACAGAAGACTGAGAAAAATGCTTTCTAAACTAAGAAGATGATCTGATTCTAAGATTAAGTTTTCTTAAGGCAAAAAATACTGCTTTTAAACAGATACAGTCTTTCTTTTTTTTTTTTTTTTGAGACAGAGCCTCAAGCTGTCCCCCTGGGTAGAGTGCGATGGCAT